TTTATTACTACTATGACGAAGCGAAACGATGAATCAATAAAATGAGGTAAAAACTGACATTTCCTATAATGAAATGGGAAACGATAATCAATCACCAATTCTAATTAAGTCTTTAAAAAGAGTTTATTTGATGATATTCGAACGTGAATTTATAAAGAAACAAGCTAAGGAACATTCACAGCAGTATAACATATGGTGACGGTTTAATGACTATCATACAAGCTTGTTTGCATTCGGTAGGCAACCGGCCGCGGCCGTTCGATCGATCTTTTGGGCTTTGCTGATTTGTTTTTAACCCAAACGGAAGGAGATGGTCCAGTGAATTATATCAAAGTGTTTACCAACGGCGGAGTTATTGCCGGTTTATGGTGAATAAATTTCTTGGTACCTACTTTACAAGCGGGGTTAAGTCAAATAAATAAGCCGAACCGCGTGCCGGCGCACTCCGAATAGCGGCGGTGGCCCCTCGCCTAATATTAAATATAGAGCTTTGACACACATAGCAATTCGTGTGACCATTTTGCACGAGGGAAACTATGAATTCACGCATATTTCCTTTATATCGCAAATAAATATGTAACCACGTACTCTTAATTCTTTTCCTACAGCCATACCACAATAATTTTAAGTCTCAGTAGAATTAAGATCCTGCTTTACATTTGTTTCTCTATCTGTTAACACGTTCATTGTATCGCGTCTAAGTAGTCAGAGAAAGAAGAGATTGACAGTTCCCACAATATTTTCCGACCTGTTTCGACCTTTGACATATCCGAAAGATCCTTGAAAAAAGGTCTCGTGTCAGACATCTGTTTGTCGAAGTGCTTATACCAGTTTCGCTAAGTGATTTGCCAGGAGTGTAAAAAATTAAGACGCCTGGGCGTGCACGCGATATTTACCAGAAATGTCACTTGCTACCCTTTTCCTTGGAATTATCAAATTAAAACGCGCAGTGACCGCTTTCTAACGAGGTTTTATCCGGCACTGACTGAGCGGCTCCAGTCACGGTCGAATTATTTAAAACACTATATATAGTGGGCCCCCTTCTCCGCGATCCCATTGTCTGTGAAGTTATAAATCAATTAAGACATTGAAATCACCGTGTACGATTAATCGACGCGATATCATTACCACCATCAACGCTTCTTAAGCGAATTCTGCACGCGAATTAAAATTTTTTGCATTAATATTCATTGAAAACAATAAGATAGCCACTTTATTTTTGTTAACTTGGGCGGAAACCGATTAATCAAAAATAACTAAATACCTCTTGAAAGTTAATATTTCGATGAGAATTTATTTGCACGTGGAATAACTCTTTCCGTTCAGAGAAAGATCGTGCGAATTAGGCGCCAAGCGGATAATGATCAATCAACTCACGGCACGAGGCATGCAATTTATAGCAAGGACGATTCAATAAACGCTCCATCCGGAAAAAGCGAAACGCATCCTGGCCGCAGCTGCGACTCCAGGAACATGGAGCGATGACATCACACAGAGGAATACATGGGCAATCGTTTCTGGTTTTCAAAGCTGTACCTACAGACGCGACAAAAGCCACGGGTTTTCAGTCAAACGAAGACAAGGAGTGACTAAGAAATCCAAAGTATAAAGGTGATCTCACTGTACGCGTGGGTGACCGACATCTTGTCAGACCCACACGCGCGTGCGAGCACCTGCGTGTCGTCGCGCCGCGATCCTCCCGGTAATTATCGGTTGGGAATCACTCAACGGAATGATGGACGTTTATAATAATAGCCAGCCGCTGTGAACTGAAATCCTCAAGGTTTCCCGATTCACAAACGTACCGCTCGATTGAGTACAGAAACTGTGACGTTTAATACTTCAATAAAATGGTATTTTATGCAAAATAAAATTCACGCACTCGTGTCTATTATAAATGCATAAAAACCCGCAGTCTAATGTTCGTTGATTCGACAAAATATAAAGTGAACATTACAAATTGTCGAACGACGTTTGATTGATTGACAATATTTGGCGAGCTCTTTTGTTCAGTCGATCGCAATCAAATTATTTATTTCCCTTGACTTCGCTTCAGGACGAATTTTCCAGTGAAACGCAAAATCTGAAAATAGGTCGACGGTATCTCTTTCTTCCTCGAAGAACCGCGGTGTCAACGATCAACCACGTTTCGGAGGTGTTTAACCGTGGTGTTCTTTGAAAAGGCCAGGGTTGGTGCCGGGACCGGTCGCCCACCGAAAATAGGTTTTTATCGTGTTTTCGGAAGCTGCAACAGCCACGGGAGGTGGGTGTGGGTAGTAAATCACGGTTTAGTGCGTTTAAAAACGCGATAGGCGGCTCGATTTAAAATAGACGCGCGTGCGCGCGCGCGCGCGCACCGACTATACCGCGTAAGTAGAATCCCACGAAACGAAAAAGACAACGCGGTCGACTTTACGCGTTTCGTCATTCGATATTCTGCGATGCAAATCGAGAAGATTGCGCCAATTCCACGACGAACGACTCGTTCGCGTGTGCCGAGGACAATCACCTCGCAAAACGATCGTTCGTTTTTTTCTTCGTTCAAACGTTTCGACATTCCCCCTGCTTGACCGTCTGGCCTCGTGACACTTTTCGCTAAACCGCGAATTCTTATTCGTCAGGGGAATAAAACTGGTTCACGAATTTGACATCGGTAATCTTAATCGTCCGTCCCGTGGTTTCCGCTTAAAATAACTAGACCTGCATACCTTACTGTGTGTAGGCCGAGAACTCTCCTCTTGTAACCCGGCAATTCTAAATGTTACATAAAAATAAATAGATCGCAATTGAGATCAGTGTTTGCCGTTTATATCAGTCCGCAGGTGAAAAACGTACCTTTAAACTTTCGTGATAAGTGAAGAAAATGGTTGTTAAATGGTATACGACTGACTCAACCTAGGAGATACAAGAGGAATAACATTTGCACGATAATATACACGACACTCCAAGAAGACAAACGTCGCCAGATAGCGCCTGCTTACTGTGTAATCAGCATACTATCTACACACTTCTACGGTCTTAATGAATCATAAGCCTGACGAGAATCGCGTATACGTATTTTGCATAATGAAACTTCCTCTTTAAAAAAGTGTTCAGATTAATCTCTTTACGAGGGGTAGATCGGAGAAAGATTGGACGTGTTCTCCGAGTGAAATTCATCTCTTGGATAAATCGACTCGTGGTTAAGCGAAGCAACAGGTGCTCCGACCGGACCGGAATCGATCAGAACCACTGCCCTCGTAAACTAGGTAGACCACGAAATTAATATAACACGCCGGCACTGCGGCTCCGTTACCGTAATTCTATTTTACCTATACAAGTAGAAACAGGCACCGAGTACTCGTCTCCTACGCGCTCGCGTGACAATCTCGAGACGTCGATGCGAGAGTAAGAACCCCCTGAACGGATCCAGCTAATGGGACGAGGGCTGAACAAGTCGGTTCGGTGTCACCACAAGAACGCGCACAGCTCTATCCCATAAAGCACACGGTTCCGGCGCAACAGGTACACGCACTGGTCCGGACCACGAGCAGCAGCTTCTAATCGTCCCACGCACGTCACACTCGCACGGATAAGCTTGCGTAATCACGTGTATCGTGTCAACGTTGAGAAAGCGAGAGCACGAACGAGGCAGAAGAAAATGTATGAAGCGTCTCGTGAAGAACAGGTGACTGCGTCGCGAAAAACGAAATCGTGTGCGATACTCGTTGACCCTAAGTACACTGGCGCGTATCGCGTGAAGCACGTGCTCGCTCGCGTTTGCCAGAAAGAGGCGGTACGCGATGCAAGCGACTCGCTTGTTCGCCAATGACTCACTACGGCTTCTGGTGCTTGAGGACGCACGCAGATCGACAGAGCCTGCGTGACTCGAGTTCCGAGCAATTGCTTTGCACGACGTGTTTACTCATGAGGACTTGAAGCACGATCGAAAAAACCCAATGTCCAAATATAGTACCCCAACATTGGCAATAAAGCACGATTGCCTAAGTTCGAAATAAATGACAAAAACTTGGAACGGGCCCGACGTGATAGGTAAATGAAAATAAATGTGATTGACGTAAAGGAAACCTTGATCTTCGACTGCCTCGAACTCGAGTAACAAATTAGTATAATCCATCAATGCGGCGCTGAAACTTATGTTAACTTCTACGGCTCGAGGGCCTTCCTACACGCTCGCGCTTACTATTACTAGTCTAGACAGCATTGAGCTAGACAGTTAGACCATAATCGTAAGCCCAGATTGCTCTGGGTTTAGTAATGTTCAAAATCTGGCCTACGGATCCAACTCATATTACCATTCCAGCTTGGCTGTAACGTACGTAGCGTCAGTAGACTGGTGTTTAGAAAATAGTCGATCCGCAAGTACGAGCACGTGCTGCACGTTGGATAGTACCTCGTAAAATTGACGTGAATCAGCGTAATTTGACGAGACAAGTCTCCTTATCGTTACTAAAACGCGAATTAAACCATAAATAATAGGAATACCAAGCTGACAATTGAGGAAGCTTTCTGCCTGTGTTTGGCAACTCTATATCTATAAATAAATGGAACCCCGCTGCATGTTACGAATTTCGAAAATCTTAGTTTGATATATGAATATGCGTGACCCATTCGTTTTTATGTTTTATTACGTAGATTATCGATGTTCATTCGCGTAGGTAGTGAACAGAGGCGCATATTTTATTACGAACGAATCCGTAACGGTGCATTGTAAAGTTAAACGACACGGGACTGAACTCTATTAGAAGCCGTCTGGAACTGCCGCCACGTTTTATTGGATTTGAGTGAAAGCGGGACGACAACGGAGTCCCTGTTGTTTCGTCAGTTTGAAATCTGTAACGCAGTTATAATACCACGCCTCGATTATTAAGGATGGGATGGATATATAAGGATTATTAGGCTATACACTTAAACAATGCTAGCATGTTGAATTTGTTATTATGATGTAATATAGATTCCTATATATAGATTCGTTTACTCCCGCATTTATCGATAATCAGGCAGGATTTTTTGGGTTATTCCAAAGGGAATGACCAGATGACTAATCCTAGGGGGTAGGTACTTAAAGTCAGTTGGTAGCGTTTGCAAAGACTTTGCAAACGATACCAAGCGAAGAACTACGACTAGTTTAAGAATCTCTGTACCCCAAATTGTAAAATATTGTAAAGTATGTTGGTCTTTCAATACAATGTATGTGCTAATGAGTGTTACGACGAAATAAAGGAAAGAACTTGATTGAATTTTGATTAATAAATGAATGAAAATGAATCTTAGAATTTTTATTTCACAATTATTCCTCATTCCACTAATCCTGAGGTTAGCTACTTGAAATCTGCTCTAATCTAATCCTTCGAGAACGCACGAAAATGAATTTCGAGGCTAGTTAGTTATTCGCTTTCTATAGTTGATATTAAACGAGGGACCAGACAAAAG